TTAAAAGTGTTGTTTAACACAAAGTCTATGAAGTTAGCAAACCTAACACATTGTTTTCTAACGAAATGAAGCTTAAATTGACTTTTATATTGTTAATAAGAGATCAAGTTTAATCACCTAATCATTTAAGTAAGGAAATGGCTATCCTCACCCGGGGTTGGAATAAAAACCCTACGATTGACCTCTCACCCCGGGAGGTGGCTGCGGGTTGACGAAAGGGAAAAGCGCCTCGCCGTTACCAGGGGCTGCCTTTGTTTACATTGTGTCGCTTCTCCAACTTTGTGCTGCTTACAATTATTTTTTCTGACGAAGAAGCTAATAATATCGTGTAAGAACTTGAGTTCTCGGAAAAGAAAGATAGCATTAATCATTATCGAAACAGCTTGGGCCACTCAAATCGTAGTCGATCTGAGAGCAAAAAGATCGACAAGGCCAAGCCTCGTCTAGAGATTGCGCTCGCTTTGGTTCTGCCGTAAGACAAAGGGAAACAGATCTGTAGGCCAATTGAGCTCTCGAAAACTGAATCACTTTGATTAGTTTGAAACTGTTGGTTTTTAATCGATTATTTAAGAAAAAAGAGGAAAAAAAAAGAACTAGCCTAACCTCCCTGATAAAAAATATAATCGAACCCCTTCCTGTTTGTTTGATGTCGATTCCAAACATTAAGTCGATACTGAAAATGAAATTCCTGGAACTGGAAGTGGCAAGGGGGCGTCAGCAGCCTATTAATCTTATCTCTCTGTCATCCGCACAGAATTCTGTGGTCATCCGTCTTCCGATTTATTTGTAGTCTTGGAGTAAGGACTTACTGGATCTAGATTCTAGATCTAGATCTAGTACTTGCATGACTAGAACGGTAGCTGCCTACAACTGTAACTGTTTTATTCAAGTTCTGCCTTGACTCTACGTAAAGGTTTGTGTTGTATGTGTTCCTCGATCTCATCTTGAAAAAGCCACGGCTAGCCTATCCTATAGGCTATTATTCTGCTTTGATCCCTGACTTGCTGCGACTGGCATTATAATTTGAAGCCATCCCCTTCATAGCTGAGACCTATCCACCAAAATGTGTACAGACAAGGTAAAAAGTTCATTCAAAAGAGACAATAAAAGGCAATTTTCTCGGAAGGAGTTCCGCAGAGGGCCAGACAACACCAAACCCTAAACCTAACCCTAATCATAACCATAACCATAACCATAACCCTAACCCGAACCCTAACCTTAATCCCTAACCCTAATCCTAACTCTTGTATAGTTTGCTCAATGGACCTTGTCACGGTAATTAAGTGCCTGCCCTCTTGCAACCCATCCTCCTCCCTTAAATTATTTAATGAAACAGAACTTCACGTACAGTCGTACTCCGGTAAGCAAATCATGGGAGAGAACCAGTTTTGGGGAATACAAACCCGTACGTCTACACTAAGAGGTTAACAAATGATTGGAATTAGGGGTTTACACAATCCAACATTACACAACATAAAACGGCTACCAAGACAGCAGATCGGAGAGGTATATAGGCATATATATATAATAAATGCTTGGAGACGGAAAATATGCAGTCTAGCACGAATCATAGCCCATAGCGACCAGATTTTCAGGTCTCGAATTTTTTTCTTATATGCATGTAGGCTGCTAGCAGATTCTTTGTATTTCACTCCCATTCATTATATATTGTAGAATTGGTTTCATTGAATTTTAGATTCTGAACAAACAGAATTAGGCTAAATCGGAACTGTCATTTAGAATTTGTGTAAATTCTGTATGCAGCTTCTTAACAAAATTGATTTCGTCACGTGCTTGCTGACTATATTAAATTAGAATTTTCTAGAACAGCATGAGAATATGTGAGGCAGCGTGGTGAAATCAGGAGCTAGTCAAAGTGAAGAAACTGGCATTTTACTGCAGGTTTGTGAATTTTTATAGAATTTTTTTTTTTGGCTCAAAAACTTTCACCATGTCTAATAAAAACACATTTACGTGTGGATTTTACTGTAAAACATTGAAAATAAAGACACCCAAAAATGTAAATTTTCAGTTTCTATGGACTCTTAAGCAAAGGATTAGCTCGTCTTTGGTGGCCCTTTTCTCTTTAATTTTACCTCTGAAACCAGGTGCGTGACTGCCACTTCCTTCATTCACAAATATCTCGACTTGTTTTCAAGATAAATAGATACTTTTTTAACACAAAGCAAGACAAATGACCAAGCTTTTAGACGATACCAATAACTCTACATGCCCTGAATTTGACGAGAGCCTGATTCCACCGCGTCGTGACTCATAGAGTGTTGTCTCAATATTGGTTCCAAAGCAATTGACAGAAGGAGACATGGGTATTGGAGCAAGGGATCCTACACAACAACCTTTCTCTTGACATGAGGATACTGACAAAGAACTAGATGCATGGATGCATATCTATATATGTGGGCATAGCTGGTAGCAGGTCCCAATGCCACATCATCCACTTAAATCTCATCCTTGTTTCATTTGACTCTTATCTTTTCCAGCATTTGAGAGAAAAGAAAGTTTACAGAAGATGATGATTTTATCTCAGAGGTCCAAGATTGGCTTCATTTTCTTAATTTAATAAAGAATGTTTAAAGGGTGAGATACATTCTCCTCAGTTTAAAAAGATGTCATGCTCATCTTTGGGACTATACTTAGAATGAGATGCATCATGAATAATGTAACGGTACAATATTCTATGCAAGTTTTATTCAGGTCTATGTAATGACATTTTTCTTTGCTCAGTAAACCATTAATGTCGGCCTATGTATGTACATAGAAGGAATAATGTGGTGGGTAGAACATGACTCAAAAGGGATGGATGAGCACAAAGAATATGTGAGGCATCATGGTGGCCTCAAGTGCTTGTTATAAATAATGACATGGAAGAAACCCCCACTTTTCTGGCCTTTGGACTTTTTAAAAAAATTCTTTTTTTTTGGCTCAATGCCTTTTACACAATGCCTTTTACACAATGCCTTTTACACAATGTCTTTTACACAATGCCTTTTACACAATGCCTTTTACACAATGTCTTTTACACAATGCCTTTTACACAATGTCTTTTACACAATGTCTTTTACACAATGCCTTTTACACAATGTCTTTTACACAATGTCTTTTACACAATGCCTTTTACACAATGTCTTTT